AACAATTTGCACACATTGTATTTTAAATAAAGAAATAATGCTAAAAAAGTTTTCTTCAATTTTCAGAATCCACACAATATTTCTATATAATGCAAGACTGTATTATATATAGTATAATATTCATCTGTATTTTTTGAAGCAAGGAGCTTCTTATTGTTTGATAAATGTGATTTTATTAGATCACACAAAGATAAAAATCTCAGTTAATGCTGTCAATTATTCTGCCTACGGTTTTTATGTCCCAGTGTCATAATTCTATCCATGTCGTCAGCGTTGTTCACAACATAACCAGAGAGGTCTTTGATATAGACACCAACATCCGGACGTTCTTTCACCTATGGTGACAAAAATAGAACTTTACCATGGAAAAACATCAAACACTTAACACATCTTTTCAGTAACCTTCTGCAAGCCATCACATTTGGAAAAATGACTGCAGTGCCCTTTATGACAAATTCATTCCCTTTATGACAAGACAGCTTTGTTACTAGGCAACTCTGTGTTCCTGTCTTGAATTATAATATTCTTTTACCTCGAGCCTCTGCATCTGGTCCTTGCCCAGTAAGTCTCGCACTTCCTCATTGTAAATCTCGAGGTATGAAACACGAACCAGAAACCTGTAAATGTATACACAAAGTCTGATAAATGCTGACATGGAAATTTGCAAATGGTAAAAGATGCTTTGTAAAGAAATGTTTCACTCATAAGATTTGTGTCGCTTGACAAGAGCTGTGTTTACATGAAACACTGAATGACAGATAAACTGTATCGTACTGTTTGAATTCAAAAGACTCCTTGGAGTGGAGTGCACATATTAAAAGCATAACTAGACAACAAAGCCTTCATTTTATTTGAGACTATGTACTTTTGTGGTAATCATCAACTAGACTGAGGGGAGGAAGAGCCGTGCATTTTATATGTACAAAATTTCTTTTACTTGCAGACTGGTTATGTTCTTACCTGGTGTCACCCTCTGCCTTGGCAATATGACCAAAAATATGAGCAAAGGAGTTTGGGATAATCCCTCTAAGTTCTGGGACTGCTCTCACACCCTCCATGGTGAATGTCTTCCCTGTTCCAGTTTGCCCATATGCAAAAATTGTGCCTAAAATGAACAGCACAGTGTAAAACCACACCATCAGAAAGTACGAAAAAAGAAAATTAAAAACTGAATACTTTAAGAGGCTACGAGGTGCATGCTTTTCTGCATTAAAATAGTGTCTAACAGTTTTTGCAGTCATTACACTTATGATTAAAAAAAATGATAATGCAATGTCAAATTAAATGTACCATTATAACCCTCTAATACTGAGTCAATGATGGGCCGGGCTGTGAGATTGTACACATCCAGCTGTTTACTGTCTGGTCCAAACACAGTGTCAAATGTGAAGGTCTTGGGAGGCTCCTGGGGAGTCTCCAGCTTGTTGACTGTTATGGTCCCACGGATCTCGTCCACACTGACGGCCTGTTTGTGGCCCATCATCTTCTCTTTCTGGTTGAGGGGACGGCATCTCACCACCACTTTGACATTATCATTGGCCTCCTGCTTGTCATGTTTATCTAGTTTACTGCTCTGTAAAACAGACCGTAATAAGGGATACGTTATAGGATGTGTGCTAATATCTAGTGACCCTGAACAAGCAAACTATCAATTTCAGCTAACTAGCATGGAAAAAGGGCATGGATGGCAAGCTTTTTAAAATAAATAACACCAAACAATTTGTGTGCAACTAGCTTATTGAGCATATTAAGCAAGACATTATCTAGCTAACACTGGTCGCGTCAATGTTGTCTGCTTTGCCGTTTGCTGAGTTGCTAGGCAGGCAAACTAACGTTTCTAACGCTGACGATAACGGTAACTGACCAGCAGAATACTCCGCAAACAGCTTATTTGGAGAATACTTTTCTGATAAACTCCGACATTGTTAACTGGCCTGTGAACACTGGAAAACCCCAGCGTTGGGAACAGTAACATTATACAGTACAGCTTGCCTATATATGCTATACCAACGACAGCTATACGCTCCGATGCTAACCGGTTAGCATCACATCAAATAAATCGGAAGAAGGGAGGAACCCCTTTGCAAACAAAACAAGAAATGCACACAGACCTGGCGACTTACCGGCATAATGAGAATGCAGCAGTGAGATTATAGTATACGTATAATGACAACGAAATCTTAGTAAATCTTTGTTCATATGAATTAAGTTATCCGGAGAATTTTAATGCTAACGAGGTTTCATATCATCAGTAGATAGCTTGTTGTTGGGTCTGTCAGTCTGCGCATGCGTCACAGGGTAAGGTGGGGGGTCTTCAGTTGGCTGGAGACAGGACCTGCTGCAATGTTCAGCACTGCTATCGCCTACAGCTACAGTACATTCATGCACAAAATGGCATTACTGTGTTCATATGTGTCATATATCAGTAACATACATAGACAGAGGAGGTAAGACCAACATACAGTTATATTTGATTTAGGTGATTCAATGCCTGCTGGAATAAACTTTAGGCCCCAGGACAAAAACCTGTTCATGGGCTCCAAATGGCCTCCACAATACATGGCAGTTTCTTTATTCCTGAGGCACCCAGAAAACAACCAGTATTCTAGAGCTGAAATGAATAATTGTTTAAGTCATTTTAGGTTAAAAGGTTAGGAGATTTTGACTGTTGGTCAGAAAAATTAGTTTATGTTTACTTGAGCTTCGGGGAATAATGATGGACATTTTTCTATATTTTCTGACAATTTATGTAATCAGGAATCAATTATTTATTAAACAAAATGACTGTCAGATGTATTAAAATATATGAAATGTAATGAAAATAATTACAGCATGCCTACTTTTATAATGGAATAATAGTATAAATATTAGAAGCAGAAGCAACTTGCTGAGACACAGTATAACAACAATTAAGTTCCATAAGAACTAAAATAATTTGCAACACAAAATGGCAGATACAAGACCTGTCAGAGTCAATGCTGTACTTTCAAGTGGTGCAGATGTTTAATAGGTTTGTGGCTAATGAAATGGTGTACAGTACATGCAAATCATCTGAAGTAAACCCAGGGTTTTTAGAGGCAATTTTCTGCTTTGCGCAGTTGGTCATCCAGGCATAAATGTAAGGCAGTGGATTGTCAAATTATAAAATGACTTCACACTTTATTGGCATGTATTCCCAATCAGTTTTGCTAATTAATCAAATTTACACAAACTATTTGACACACAGTGAAACAGTGGGGCCTCTGGTGATAATGATGGATGAAGCAAAATAAATTTATACTTGTATAGTTAGCAAAGAATAACTGAAATGTTAACTCAGCTGCAGTTTACACCTGAAGTAAAACACCAAACTGTTAGTGTCCTGGAAGTTTATTACCATATAATCAGTACAGATATTTGACCTCATAATTTTTCTAAACATATTTAAATATAGTTTTTTGTGGGTTTTGACAAAGGCACTCACCAATACGTGTAACATGAGTATTAAACAAGGAACAGTCATCAGATGGGTTTTTTGTGCAAAGTCTTACAATAGCACATGTGTTACAAACATACATACATCTTGAATAACACAAAATATATCTCTGGAGAATTTAACCACACACTCACATGCACTCGGGACAAAAATAAACACCTCCTTCATAGGACTGTCATTTGACAGTATTATCTTTTGGACCTCAATGAGCAAGTCAGTCAAGTCTTTTGGCAGTTTGAATACATAGAAAAAAGAAATATACTAGAGTAGTATAACACAGTCAGCTGAGCCTCTCCAGGGCTTGAAGAACACTGCTGTGGAATAAGCCGGTGTGCCCACTGCTCTCCTGGGTAACCAGAACCCGCCCATCAGGTCGTGGTCTGTGGACGAGGACAAGCTCACCTTGAAGCAGACTGAGCTCTGTGTCTGTCTGGGCTAAATAAGTTGTTGTCACTCTGTGTCTGATTAAAAACAAAAAAAAGCAAAGATGTCAGAGATTTTTTGTCCAGTCTTCCAAATAAATGGCAGTTTTTCAAGTCTACCTCATTTGTCTAATAATCAACCATTGCTCTTTATTTTCAAGGACAAGCACACAAATCCAACGTACCTGCTTGGGCTGAACTGAGCTGATATGACTGATAGTGATGGTTGCGATACTGGTTTCTGCAGCATAGAATTTAGATCTGAGTTGGCTGTTTCCAGGCCTTTCCTGAGAATAGGAGCTTTTCCTTCTTTGAGAATGAGCCCTGGTCCGTCTCTTCCCAAGGTAAGCAATGGGGCCCAAACTTCTAATGGAAGGGGGCCAGGGCGGGAGTTGGAGGGTGTCTGGGTTCCCGATGAACAGGAGTTGGTTTGAGGTCTTAACAGAGGGGAGTCTTCATCTGCGAGGAACCGCACTGACTTTGCAGGCTAGGAATGTAAAATATTTACACATGCAGAAGAGTCATCAAAGGAAGACTTTATGAGAGTTTATGAACAATACATACATAACTTCAGAAAAATGTGAGCTAATTTCTCACACAATAAATCATCAGTATGACACTACCTTGTCTGTATTGTTCTTGTAGGAATCAGGTCTGACTAGAATTGAGGGAGGCCCATTGGGAGGTTGTCTGTCACGCTGTAATGTCACCTCATGCAGGGCAGTGGAGTCCCTGTCCTTCAGGACTGCAGCAGCAGAGGGCGCTGCTGGCTCAGTCATCCAGCCCAGGGGTCTGCCAGAGCTGGACTGGATGCTGCTGTTTTTCTTCCTTTGCATGGCAGGTGAGGAACTGGATGCCTGAACTTGTGCAAAGTGCTGTGAGCTGGATGGGATGTTCAGATTAGATGTATGGGAGAAATGGTTTGAGCCTGAAAGATATTACAAGACAATGTTTAAAAAAGTTGTTGAAGAAATCTGTAATTTAATCAAGATGACAAACATGGCTGTTGAACACTCACTTCTGTGAGGGTTAAGGATACGCCTCACAGTGTCCCAGCCTTGTGAACCCGCAGAGAAGGGCGGTTTTCTAGTGCCAGTGGATGACATTGCATGCTGTACTCCATTTGGCACAGATGGGACCTGTCCTGTTGAGGATGTTGTTCCATCAGCATTCACCCTGTCAAGAGCAAGGACCACAGCAGGATTCTTGGCAGCTGTATATCTTTTTCCAGCTCCTGTGCTGAGTGGTGCAGATGCATTAGCTGCTTTAGTCTCCAGGAGTCTGGCCGAGGTTCTGCAGTGAGGCAAGGAGACACATTGGTATAAAGTGTAACACCTACATCATGTTATGCTGTAAAGAAAGTTTATTTGAACTAAACTTCAGCCACCACAGTGTCATATTTGTATTTCATGAATAATTGAAATGTATGACATGTCGTCCTGCCCACACCGAATTATTGTCTGAATCCAAATGTCATTTAGCTCCCACTTTCTGCAGTCAGGGAGCCTCTTAGCCTCTCACCTGAGCACAGGCGTGACGTAGTTGCTGGGCAAAATGCCCACTTTGCCCGTTTTCAGCGATAACCCACGCAGCCAGCCTTCTCTGAACTTTCCGTACACTCCTACCATCTCTCCTTTCCTCATCTCCAGCTCCTCTGGCTGCCGTGGTTTGTAGGAATACAGGACAGCACACCTGAGGAGTCACACAGAGGACGTCTTTGTCACTACCACACAGAGGACGTCTTTGTCACTACCAGACTTTATATATTATATATCCATATTATTGTGCATTTTTATTGGCATTGGAGTTTCTCATTCCTTTCTATTCATATCTTGCAGCTACATTATCATAACATCAATACATCATTTAAAACAGTGACTCACACGCTGATGGAAAGCTGCTGTGTGGAGGAGTTTTTGCTGTCTGCAAAAGCAGAGGACATCTGGGGGTTGCCCAGAGCCATAGAGATGGTGGGTGGAGCCTCACTGGCCATCTTCTTCTCACTCTGAAAGTAGATGGATCCAAAACTATTGTGATATGGAATGCAAAAGCTGATACTTGGCCCTTTACTGATAGACATCAATGATAAAAACAGTATTTCTTGATGTCACTTTATATGTAGACATCAAGAAAGATGCCACAGTCACATCAGAATAATTGGCTATAGTATTACAAACATGGAAACATGTAGATACAGTACATACCGGTAATCAAATTTTGGATTTAAAAAATACTGTTTATAAAGCAATTTAACACTAACTGTACAAGAATGCAAATACACTTTTGACTTTTGTGTGTAATGTTTGTCATTTTGCAGTTCTGTATGATCTAACTTTCTCATAATGTTAGATTGGTGGTGGTGGAGAGTGTGATCAGATCAGGGCAACGTCTTCCATATGTGTTGAATCTGGCTGAGATCTAGTGAATGCAAAGGCCATAGCATGTGATTCAAACTGTTTTCATTCTCATTGAACCATTACTTACAGTATTTATTCTGGTTTTTTTAACCTGTCACTGGTCTGTATACAGTATTAGATATAATTCTTGGAATATCTTTGGAATTACTCAGTCTTAGTTCCAACTCCATAAATATAGTAATGATACATTTTCAGCTATGTAAAAGGCAGTAAACATATACACAATAGCACATTTAAGCTTCTCTTTTTAAAGCTGAGAGCTAAGAAAATATGACAGGTGTGAATGTCAGCAGGCTGTGATTCAGGCCTGAAACAGCCAGCAACTATCAAGGAGTGACCGTAAGGTGTGTCTCACAGCCATTAATCTCAGTACAATGCTAAAAGCCTAATTACCGAGGAGAGCCTTTTAATGAGACCTTTATTATATACTTTTTGTTTTCTCCTCTGATGAAACAAACCCCACATAAATAACTTTACTGCTGTTAGTACAGAGAGGCAAGAAATAACTTTCAAAGCACCAGTATTTCTACAGTATTTTTCACAGATGCCTGCTGATATTTACAGCACTACCACTCAACATTAATGCTGGCCTGTGGACCTGGGTATATCCCTTGATCCTACAGCTCCCCCACCATGACAGCTGCATTATATTCACATTGTAACTCAGACAAATACAAAAACAGCCATAATTGGGATGCAGCCATTTTTATAGGTGTTAGGAGGAGTTACAGGAGTCATGAAGAGTGGTCAGTAAGAACTTCCTGTCTTTGCTGTGCTGTGATTAAGTGCAATCAGTCATTATCTTTTAATAGCAAAGCACTGCCATATTCTTAAGAATGGCGTGTAATGCAAGAAAGAAAAAGCCCAGCAACTATTTTTTTCAAGTGTTCAATTATTTAGTTATTTTCATTACTCGGGGTCCTTTTTATATTCTTGGTTTGGGTTTTATCAGATACAAAGACTCTGATTCAGTTATGTTGCAGTGACGCAATGGCCAGGTGCAGTGACCCAGCAGTGGTAGTAGCTATATTTATATTCAGAGATTAACTGGTCATGCATAAAGTGACTAAACACTTTATTCACCATGTGATAGACTGGTGACCTGTCCAGAGTGTCCCCTACCTCTCGCCCAGTGTCAGCTGGGACTGGCTCTATGTCAAGATTTGGTTAAACAGAATTATGCCTTTCAATGCATCATCTGATAATCAAGTTCCACAGTAATCATTTTAAGAGCTAAACTCCCTCTTTGTTATTCCTCATATCAAATTATAAAACTGTATACAGAACTAAATCCCACCCAAAACATATATTTTAAATATATATTTGAAAAGCTCAACGCTATTAGCTCTAGCTCATTATGTGTGTGTAAAAGAGTGACATTCAGACAATGGTTCAGACAACACCCAGGATAGCCAACGTTATTGCTGTGAGATGATCACAAAGTGGAAATGTGCCTGAATTAATTACTGATGTACAGCCACACAGGTGTTTTAAATTACTCTGGCTAATTAGACATCTAGTCAGGCTGAAGCTGGCTCAAGCTAAGCTGGAAATGACACAAGGCCACCTATCTCTATGATTTAGCATTAGCCACAATCACCCCCCGAGGCTGGAAACTGTGCCTGGCACTGAAGCACACTTACATTCTATTTTACACTCTCTGTGCATGAATATATTTATCAGGATATTTTAACTATTAATTAGAATTTGGATATATTTTATTTCCGAATGTCAATGAGGTTGTGGCAAAAAGAAATATCTATATAAATAACTGTTTATAAAACAAATGTTTGTCATTATCTGTATATTCTGGGGAGGCTAATGGAGGTAAAGGTAAACTGATCTCATTAACAATGGTTTAATTTTGTCCTCCCAGACAGGTGCAGCAAAGCTAACAGGAGAGTGCAAGAGGAATCAGCCGAGCACAGTCTGCACATGCCCACACAGGATTAGGAGGTCTAATCACACAACGTAAGTGAAAACGCATGGGTGGGTGGATAAATAGGCTTTAAATGTTTAAACTGGGTTTTTAGAGCTGCAACTAAATTTGTCGACTCATTTTCATTACTGAGTAATAAAAAAAAATGGCAAATTAACTGTTTGGTCTTATAAATTTCATAAAATAGTGAAAAGTTTCCAAAGGTGACATCTTCAATTTGTCTGTTGTGTCTGTCTGACTAAACAAACAAATGTGTGCTTGATAAAGGCTTGTTAGGCCCCTTCTAAAGAAAGGCAGCCTGGGTCCCTCAATATTAAATATTTACAGACCAAGCTCTAATCTTCTTTTTATGGGAAAAATATAAATAAATAATACATTTAACAACAAATCTTTTCAGCTCTATTATACAGTCATTTCACTGGCTTCACGTGTTACTGATTAAAAGTAAGATTTTTGTAAGAACAGTAACTGTTACCTTGATATGCCAGTGAAGCTTGATATGATTGAACTTTCCTACACTGCATCTGAAGATGCTTTTGGCTCATCTCCATCCTACGTTCTGCTCTTACATAATCATGCTAATATTCACACTGATAACCATTATTTCATCCACAGTTTGGTGGAAAGCTGCATCTCTCTGTAAAACAGTGGAGCCAGTGGTGAAAGCTGACGCAACACTAACAATAGCACACATGCTGCCTTGGTCAGCGGGGACTTCAGCCTTGGCTTTAGGGATAGAGCCCTTCATTCCAGTTAAAAGGGAAGTGCGTGGTTTGTCTGCTATTCCTGGCCCAGTGATGTGCAAAGTGAGTGTTATACCTGCTTAGTGAAGAGGAAGGAGTATGGAGGCTGGGGAGAGAGGGGTCTGTTATGTAACCAACTTCACCAGTGACTCATCATCATGAGCTTGAGAGAGATAAGCTGACACACTGAGGGACCCTCCAAGCCTCCCACTCTCTATATCTCTCACCCCCACTGCCCCCTGCTGCCTTCCTACTTCTTGCATTCGTCTTTTTGCAGCACACACTCTTTGTTTTGTGATTGCTATCCCAGCTCTTTGCCATCTTGGTTTTCCACCTTTCCTCTTCCCATCTTATCTCTCCCATTTCCTGCTTTTTATTTTGTTCTCCTCCAGTCTCCCGTGCCTCCCTTCCTCTCCCGGTGTTTTTCCGACCTGCATGAGTTTTAGTGTTTTTATGCTCTGACATGTAAAATTGCACGGTAGAGCGGTGACATTTCAATTGAATCAAAGGAAATAATTATCTCGGGGGGGTTTGGGCACTTGGCAGCAGATTATATTATTAAACCTTGCAGAGGCTTTTATGTTGGCATAGCACCCAGGCACTAGTTGGCTATGACTTGATGCATCCCTCACAGAATTTTGTAACACTGTTTCTAAAGCCAATGAATGGCATTATGTCCAGCTTTATACATAAAGTTGGTGATATGAAATGTATCCATTACAACACTGAAGCTCAGAGGATCAAATCTGAACAAGTTAAAATTCTTTAGAGCATTTTACAGCATGCTCTGTTTTAGTTTTTCTATCGTGTTGTTTCTCTGTAGTCATCTAAACATACTTAGAAAACTGAAAAGCCAAGTGTTTATGTGAATTACACCCTCTACCACATCGCTATTCTATTACAACATTTAAACAGTTTCTTGCAGACTGAAGTTTCACAACACCCTTGTCAGATCTGGGAAAATAAGAATAATGCTTAAAACTGTCTCATGGAGATGTTTCATCATCCTAGTGTATACAATATGCAGCAGGTATAATGTTGATCACATGAATAGAGTGGATTCTCTATTTAGAAGAGATTATAGGCTGGATAAGGAGAGGAAAGGTTTTTAAAATGTACTGATCTCAAAGCAGCCCTTAAAAAGCTTTTGAAAAAAAAAAACAGTAAAAACGGTCAGTTTCAAGAGTCGGTTTCTAAAGCCTTAGTGAATCTAATGTTTACGCACTGACTAATTTAGATGGCATGAAAGGAATTCATGTGAGCTCAGCTTTTGTGCGGCACCGAATTTCCTGTCACACCTTTTAAACACAGAGGTGGAAAGCAACTGAGTACATTTACTCAAGTACAAGTTTGGGGTAGCTCTAATTTACTTAAGTATTTTCATTTTTCTGCTACTTCATACTTCACCTTTACTACATTTTAGCGACAAATATTGCAGTTTTTACTTCACTACATTTATTTATTAACTGTAGTTACTTTTCAGAATCTTATTAAAAGAACAAAATACAATATAATCAATTATTGATCCCTGGTGGGGAATTCGCAAGCTACCCGGCAGTACTTCAAATTCTAAGGATATTATGCATAATGAGTACTTTTACTTTTGGTACTTTGAGTATATTTTGCTGCTAATATTGTACTTTTACTTAAGTAAATTGTGAATGCAGGACTTTTACTTGTAACTATTTTTACACTGTGGTACTGCTACCTTTACTTGAGTAAAGAATCCGAGTACTTCTTCCACTGCTGCTAAAACACTCGTCATTCCATTACAGCTGACGGAGCTTTCGTCTTTTCTCTACAGCTATACTGTTTTGCCTTTTAACAGTGAAGAAAGAAGAAGAAAGAAAAAGGAAACACACCCATTAATTACACTGCCATTCATTTTTGAGGGGAAACCCTGGCTTATGTCCCAAGACTAATGAATAAAGACCTTTCAGTGTTTCAGTTTATGCAACTCAAGTTTGTTCTTATCTAACCTTTTTCTACCTTATCTTAATGAGTGCTACTTAATTATGCAGTGGCCACTACAAGGGCGATGCCTCTCTCTCGTTCATTCCTAAACCTCAATGTCATGGTTCCCTCCCTTCCTTGAAAACAACTTGATTCCACAGTGACTCAAATAAAAACATCCACAGAAAACAGCTATTCCTTCTTGCCAACCACATTTTCTGTTAAAATAAATCACTGCAAAGTACGCAGTTCAGCTCCAAGACCATGGAAGAGGAATGTGATCACATAGCATGCATACAGACATGTATGTTGGTACATGACTCACCTGTAACAGGTGTCTCTGTGTACTCTCAGAGTGGCGTCTAATTCGCTGAGAGTGGACCCGGGTGGCAGACGGCACAGAGTAGTTCCGGGGCTGACCCTGACGGTTGATGCTATTGATGGTGCTGATGTTTGTTGTCTGATGAAAGGTGGCTGCGTAATGTTTCTGCTGGCCAGAGAGTGGCAAATAACTGATGACGGGTGTCTTCGCTGGGAACTGAGGGACTGCGTAATGGGTGGTCCTGCTGGACGCATCAGTGGCCTTGTCCTTGCCCCCGCTCCCAATCCGATGGTTAAATTCAGCTGAGTCACTCGGCAGCCACTGAGTTTGGCTGAAAGAGATGAATACACAAAGAGAAACCACAGTGAACATCAAGATAAATTCTAACAGATAATGGTCAATCCTTAGTCAGGAAAAACCTCTCAAACTCGCTCCTACCTGCTACTAGTGCCTGTCAACCTCTGCTCCTGCTGATCAGCGAAATGGCTGTCTAAATACACCCACTTATCACTACTCCACTCACCCTTACAACTTGTTGGGCAGGCAGGCAGGGAGGCAGGAGGATAAGCACCAACCAATAAGCCAGGAAGGGCTGGCTGGTGCTGAGAGAGGAGCTACACAGACAGGCAGGCAGGCAGACAGACAGACATGGCAGGGTTAATGCTTTCACTCCTCACAGTGATGTACTGTTATGCCACCCAAGCAGAGAAAGCATTGCTGTGTCTTTACGCCTGGCTGAAGAGGCAGGCTCAGAAAGGAGAGGGGAGAGTCGGAAAATGGAGGACGAAACAAAAAAGTACAGAGAAAGATGAAGCGTGTCAGTGATGCGGGGATTTAGGAGAAGACACGGCTGAGCAGGAGACAAAGGGAGGCATAAAAGGAGAAGACTAGAGTAAGGGGAAATGTTAGGAATGAACTAAAGCAAAACAGATGAAGTGAAGGAAGTAAACAAGAAGTGAATGAGGCGCCACATTACCCACTGTAGGAACAAATACAACAATTTTCCTCAGCATGGATGAAGTTAATTCCTGGAGGCAGAAAGTAAAGAGGAAAACAAATGCCAGTCAGCTAGCTAAAGCAAGCTCTGCAAATCTGAGTAAGCCTCAAAGTTGCACACTAATGAGCAGCTACAGCCACAGCAGAGCTTCACAGATTACCTCTCTGCCTCAGTACTCACAGCGCAAGAGTGACATTTACAGGTGAACCAAAAATATGAATGAAATTCAAGGCAGCTACCTGGCAGTGACCCCGGTCATAATGGCATCCGGCGACGATATGTGTGGCTCAATTCATTAATTCATTACAAGAGCTACACTCTCAGACCAAAGTATCAAACGGCAAGCGTCAACCTTGATCTTGCTGAAAAGGCCACAACCCAAATTCAAACTAAGAAGAGAGAAAGAAAGAAAAAAATAACCCCACCTCTGTAAACTCTTGAGGGCAGATTCCAACTTTGTCCCCTAGCTTGGCCTCAATCCAGTGTTCATCCACCCGTCTGAGAACAGTCAGGATGTCTCCCTGTAAACCAGAAATAAGTAACAGACACAGAGACAACTAAACTTAAAGGAAGTGGTGAAAAGCTGCAGGGCCAGTCCTTTCTGCAGCCAGCCTCACCCTAAAAGCCATTTGACCATTCACCTAAAAATAAATAAATAAATAAAATGGCGAGTTCAAATGTGCTTTAATGGACAGCACACAAGCACTGAAGCCCTTATATAACTGCCTCAGAAATCCTTCAGCAGCAGAGGTCAGAGCCTCCAGCTCAGAGTAGTCCAAAGAACAAAAGCAAAGACCATTAACTACTGGGAGCTAAACATACTCATAGAACTATCTAGAAAAGGCACAGCAGAGTGATGCTGAATGGGCTAATCTGTCTTTTCTCTCAGTAAAGCTAATATGGTGATCTGACCAGAACATTAGATGTTTGAAATATAAAAGGTTGCTAACTAAAAAACTTCAGAATTGAAGGGTCTATCCATGATGTTTTCAGTAAATTGACACACTAATGAGTCTATTTAAAAGTTTTTTTCAGTTTAGTACATTTCTCAGATCAGAAATGAAATTCTGCTTGGTCAGCCTCCACATCATCTTGTCACATTTAAGCAAATTCTCAGTGTTTTTAACAAATTGCTAATTCTTTGGCACATTCATGCAAATGATTATGTGCAATTGTCTGTTTTCGACATTATCAGTTATGACTTATGTCATGTTGATCAAAATGTATTATATGGTTCTCTGTTGAATAGTCTGACCTCCCAACACAGCTAATCATAAGTTCATTTAAGATGTCATTACATGCAAAATGGGAGAACTAGTTGTCTTTAGTATTTGTCAAGCAAATTCCATTACAGCTCTATTAGACTTTTTTGCAACTTTGTCTGAATTGTTGAATTGCTCTCAGGTGAATCTTGACTTTCTGTAATGAAGGGGAATGTGTTAAGTATGAGATCAACCAATGATCAACCAATTCTCTACTGTAAAATAGCTCAGACCTGTATCTCATGAACCTTTAGTTAAAGACAGAGCACAATTCTATGTAAGTTGTGTTATCTTGGCCAGGATACGAGGTTTTTAAACTCATCACTCATACAGCATAATCTCGATATTGCTCTTTTCTCAGAGGGTTAATATTCTATTATTCCCTGAAGGTTACCCTTAAGTGTATTTGTTTCCTTTGTGCATTAGCTAAACAGTAGCAAACCCTGCTAGTATTTTAAAAGCTCAAGTGTGCACATACAGTGCAAGTGACTAAACACAATAAAAATAAGCATTTCCTGCTGTGTTAGGTCAGCAGCGCATCAATAGAGTCAGACCTTGAGGAAGCCAAGACAATATTTACTGTCCTCCAGATTCATGTCATCTGGGTTAAAGTCGTACAGCGCCCTGCAGAGAGCCGGTGCTTGGGACTGCTGGAGCAGCTGCAGCTTAGACATCTGGCTGACGGCCTGCAGCGTGCCGGCACTGACAGACACAGCGCTGCTGTCACCAGTGTTTCCCTGCTGCCAGGTCTCATCCACTTTGTGTTTCTGGGTGATACTGCTACCAGGCGTGAGGACCAGCTCCCCTGACGTATCACCTCGTTGGGTACGTGTCGAGGCTCTGACAGCAAGCTGAAGAACAGACAAAAATCATATATGCATGTTCAAATGAAATGGTGAATTTATTTAAATGAAATTCCACCTCTGATTTCTCTCTGGTGAGAGGTGAAAAAAATATAGTGTCTTGCTTTTACAAAAGCATTTCCTGAAGTTAAAACAGGACACTACTTATTTGGGCCTCAACTTCAACTGTGACAAACTGTTATCAGCACTTTGCTGAAGACAGATGGACACATCTGTAAAAACCCCAGTCTAAACAGGTTACAGGCAGTGGTGGAAGAAGTACGCACATTGTTTACTTAAGTAAAAGTAACAATAATACCACAGTGTAAAAATACTCTGTTACAAGTCCTGCATTCAAAATAACTGGATTATAATTATTGATGCATTACTGTGTACATCATATTATACTTTATATGCCTTTTTGAAGTATGTTGCGAATTTCCCATCAGGCGTCAATAAAGTCAGATTATTATATTGTATCTTATAAAGTTAATCTGATTCTGAAAAGTAACTAGTAATTAAAGTTATCAAATAATTGTAGTGGAATAAAAAGTACAATATTTGCCTCTAAAATATAGTGAAATCAAAATATGAAGTAACAGAAAATGAAAATAAGTAAAGTACAAATATCTCAAAACTGTATTTAAGTATAGTACTTGAGTAAATGTACTTAGTTCCTTTCCACCACAGGTTGCAGGTTCAGTCAGTGACAAACATGCTCTGATTTCCTATCCAGATATAAAAATGTGTTTAACATTAAGGTGATATCAATACTGGCTCAGGCTTTAATGTATTTACACTTTTTCCGGTGATGATGAGGTAAAACAGCACAAGAACAACCAGAGATGCTAAATTATTTTCCCCTGAAGTAATAAAGGGTATTTAAGAAATTGTAATACTTTTCCTGGTTTCTCTTTCTCACATGTTTTGGTCGTGGTTTTCTTTTTGGTCTTTAATGTTTCAGTCTTTGTCCATTTTATGTAACACATTCATTTCTCCCAATCCATTTGGGTTGGCATTTGGAAAACTACCATCAAATGTCAGTGTATCTAACAACTACTACTAGCTTTTGATTAAGATAACTTTTAATTTTTCTTCAGTAATCTTACACGGTACAGTCGCTGTTTAAAGTTGTAACTGTGCCCTTCATACTAGGGTCTTGTTTCTGCGGTAAAGGAGAGGACCCAGGAGGGCTGAGGTCTGAGAAGCAAATCATCCTCTGACTTAAAAATGCCTGTAGAATAATGACAGACACCATTCGTACAAGCTGAGGGGATCTCATCACTTTCAGCCTGGGGGAACACTGACGCACACGTTGCCAGAGGAGACATTTTGTTAGGTCAGATCACATCCCATCTCTTGTGTCGCACAATTCCATAAGGTTTATTTTTACTTATTAGGTGAAAATCCCACTTAAGTTTGGTGAACGCACAGTGGTGAGTAAGTGGCTGTGTAGGCCAGATTTGAGACATATAGCCCTATGCCTCAAAGGGCGAATGAATAAATCGATGAAACATCATTTTGGTTGAACGGGAAGACAATAAATACCATGAGGTGAAATAAATTTGTTGGCGGTGTTTCCATACTGTTCACACTGAGGTCACTCTCAATGACAACAACAAATCAATGAGCAAGACTACTTTATGGCAATAATGGATTCCTCTTAATGTTTTTTTTTTGTAGCAAAGTTATAAAGCACGTTAATTTGTTGGCTATTTAATGTGCTGGATTAGCCAGAAACAGACATTACTGTCTGGTGATTTCATCCATTAAAAGTTTCATGATTGATTTTCTAGAAAATGTACAATTTCACCACATATATCAATATTTTTGGTATAAAATTTCATATACCAGGAGAGAGAATTATCCATATTGCACACCCAAAGGTTTTGGCTGTTTAGAATCTCAAAAGTTGATTTGCTGAAAAAAAAAGAAAACTGGTGGGTGTCTGAAAGAAGGAATGAATTCATTCAAAATCAAAAATAGTGTTAGGCTTTGTAAAAGTGTCAGTATCCAAGTAATGCGCTTGTAGTAAAGTGTCTAATGCAGTCACAATCATTTTGGTCACCACTGACCCAACAAATCAGTCTTTAATGTATGAGGTAAGACTGGTTTGGGTTACAGTTATCAATAGATTTTGTAATAACAACACCAATCACAAATGGTCCGCAAATAAAAATACAAATTGTTTTAGGTCATATTACTTTTTATAGAAGTATGCAGAGGATTAGGCCGGGGTCATGCACTGACCTCATTGTACCGTTGTGGCTCTCTGTGTTGACTCATCTGCTGTTGTTGACCTTCCCTGAGCGTCAGACTGCCCCTGGTCACCGGCACTGCGTAGCGGGCAATCTGTCTGTACCTGCTAATGGGCCCTGTGGAGCCCTGGAGCGCCTCCAGGATCTGCACTAACAGAAGATTTGCAGGAAGCTCCTCCACTGTCCTGACTGGGATAAAGGTGCCACACTCTGGGCAGAACAGCTGGGAGCTGGCTGCCTCCTGCTTCTGCAGGCAGGTCAAACAGAAAGTGTGTTGGCAAGGCAGAACCTTGGCTGATACATCCAGCTGCTCCAAACACAGAGGACATTCCAGCAAGGCTGTTAAAGCCAGCTCTTCCATTTTAAAAGGGCCACCTCTCTTTGAGACTAGGGTTTGTTGTCCATCTGAAAAACCGTCATGGACTAAACTGAGAGAGAAAAGAATGGAACACCTCATTCAATGGCACAAGTTAGTGTCAGAAATTCCATAATGACAGTTACATTAATGATCAAAGTCCTTCTCTGTAACAACCCATCTGATTCAAAGATACCACCATAACGTCCATGACTTGATACAGTGGAATTACTAAAATAAGGCACTTCGTGGTAAACTCGTCAAGCCGCTCACCTACAGGTGTCATGTATGCTCACCTGGCCGCACAGGTAAGACAGCAACAGCAAATATCGAAGTATGTCAACATTTGTCTCAACAAAACACACACAGTACACATACATTCAGTACTTACTCGTGTGTCTGCGCTCCACCAGGGAGATAGTCCATAAACTCTGATTAGGAAATGCGTAACTTCTTCACTGTTGTCGCCATGACGCAGTGCGCTGAGGACGGGACGGTACGACGCAGGACAGGGACGCGAGCTTCTTCACCGCGATGAAAACTTCACGCTTGCTGAAATTTATAACCACATGAAATCAACATGTGGAAAGCAGACACCAAACACGCTCAAAACCAGGTTTCAGCCCCCACCAGGCATAGTATTCACCAGGAACTGTGTCGGATTTCAGTGTCATGTCCGACTGAGTTTAACCCTTAACAGCTCCTGATTTGCATAAAAATCAGGAGGATTTGGCGGTGTGGTCTTAAAAAGGCACTACAGATAAGTAAATTAATTTAAAATATATATCCTTTTTAACAGATGTTTTAGCAGCCCTGTAATTGTTATACCTAAGCTTGGTTGCTGTTTTGCATGATGTAAATACTTAGATGATCGATTCTGCCCTGATTCAGTATAATAATGTTTTTAGCACATTTATTTCTTAATGTCTGTGTTTGCTTCTCCGAGCAGCCCCATTTTTACTGATTAAAATATAAAGGAAAAATGAAGCAGAGCAGTGGCTACAGCACTGTCATGTTGCATGGTCTCCCTCTGCTGGTGCATTCACTGACCAGCACAGTTCACATCAATTGTACTGGAAATAATGGTGTATAATAATAGTTTAATAAATAAATAAGTAAGTAAAAATAAAAAATGAATCAGATAGTCACTGTCTTCCATCACTCTGATGCACATGTCTGAGAATATTAGCTGAACATGCAGAGCAGCCACATTTGATGCTGGAGATGCTAATCACTGCTTTTATCAATTTGATTTATTGTTGCTTGGATTTTAGTTGCACAGCCCAAATCCCAAATTCCTTTTCTTGCACCCCAAGACTAAATAATTTATCCATATTTTCCATGTACTGAAGATTCAGGACATCCATTTATATTTTTTCAAACAAGCATGAATCTTTTATCTCTTTCTTCACGTCAGCAGAACTCGGGGAATTCTAAAAATGAACATATGCCTTTACAGAGAGAGCGAGAAAGCAACAGAAGAAGAAGGACTGGGGGAGAGCTTAACCATGACTTATTTACATGCTCATATCAGTGCTGATACAGGACCATCCCCTCAAGCCTCTCATACTTTAATCGCTCTGGCAGAGTAAAGGGGAATCCAAACAGCACCTGATTTTAGTTCTTTCATGTTTTTTTATGGATTAAAAATTAACTCCTTGATGACTGTAGTGCTCTGTGGGTAATGAAGTTTCTGTCATCCAATCAATGATACTGTACAGACCTGGGAGTGTTTTGCTACCTAAGTGCTTTTCAGCTCCTTTACAGCCCGACGGTCAGTCTGGCCTCCACCGAGGAGCCTCCAATGTTGCAGAATAAGGCAGCATGTTTGATGGTTTTGAGATATAATCTATCTGATGGAAAGTGAAGGGTCTCCCGGGGATGGCTCTGAGCTTGGTCTTCTGTCTCTCAGAATATCATGGCTTGTCACAAGTTGCTGTATAAGTAGTGCCTTCCTTTCCAGCTTTCATGTTTTATTTAAAATGCTGTCTCATCCAGAGAGTGCTGCTAACTCACTGAATGTGATCTGTCTCAGTGTTGCCTTTCCCCTCTTTTTTCAGGTCTTTGTCTCCCCCTATTTCTGTGGCTGTGCTTGATCGTTTCACTGTGGTGATGTATGTGCAGATGTGCTTCAGAGTGTACATGGACATGTTTCAGCAGTTTCATTTGAGCAAAGTGTCAGTCAAAATGCATAAGCCTTGTGCATAAGCAGTTTGAGGAGGATTAACCATAAATAGAACAGCACTTTAGGTGCATCAAAGCCCGCTAATTAACTTCTCCCTTTCAGAGGGAACTAATCCTCCAGCCAAAAAGTAGCCACTGTCATTCCCAGATGATTCATTTTTGTTGTTTCTCTAATGAAAGACTCCAAACTGGCTTCTACACAAGCCTCTCTCACACACAAAGTAAATATGTGAGGTGAGGCTGCAGTCTGTGTTTGGAGGAAAAACGCAGCACTCCAGTAAAACTGGCTCAACCGGAGTATCAGCAAGTTGTTTTGGCTGTACATTATGTGCCACAGTTCATCTTTTTTACACAGGTGAGGTGTCCATTCTCATTGTCTTTCAGACAAAGTCCAGCTTGACAGCAGAGTATGATGGTAATGGCCCACAGTATGTTGTCACTCTGTGTCAAATGACTCATCCATGACTGCCTGAAACCCTGGGAAATTAAATTTGAAGGAAAATGTATGCAGAACAGCAGGCAGCCCTCCACCAGATGTTTTTTAAAACATCCATCTATAGAACAACTTCAAGAGTCTTCCGCCCACAGTTTGTTCCGCCTGGTGGTCCTCTGCCAGCAGATTGAATCTTATAAATGTTTCATATTTGATAAATAAATGAAACAACCTCTTTTCTTACTTTTGGGTAGTGTACTGAGCTGCTCCCTTACCTACATATGCAGGAGCTTATTATAGTAGGTTTGACATAGTTTCAGTTATTGCTTAATGAGGTTTGGCTCAGGGATATTTTAATTTATTTTTCAAATACAAATGCATCCATTGTTCTGTTAACAACATTTTTTTTTTATTTCAAACTGTATCAGTGCTTCTTTAGGGAAACAATAAACACATATTCTATCATTTTCTCAGCAGGCTGTGAGAGAAGCCACACTTCAATTCTGCCTCTCTAGAAGATACCAGAGTGACATCGTAGTCCATCATGTCGTTAATGACCTCCTGCCTGCTCTCTCACTCTGTCGTGTCCCTCCACATTACTCACATTTGACATATAGGCTGTTTATGGATGCCTTGCTTGTCAGGCTGGAGGCTGTGTGCATCAGCATCACTCTGGGTCATGTGACCTTATGGTACAACTCACCTTTGTGTTCAAGTGTGCCAGTAACTCAACCTAACTAAAACCACAACCTGAGAGAAGTGCTGCTGAGGGGCGGGACTTGAGCTTTGACCCACTTACAGCTGAAAAACCTGAGCCAGGAGCCAGATTCAAGTCTAAGTTTTCCTGTTGCATGCTTTTTTTTTGTCTGCGAGAACGATGATGCTGAACTCTTATGGTGTGCAAATGTTCCAGGAGCTGTCTGAGTTAGAGATGTGTATGAGGGAAACTAAAAATAGGACGTGCACACCTCTGAGCCAGCTGCCTCTGCACTGCCTTTGGGGCTGTCTTTGCATCTCCCTTCTCTCTTCTCCTTCTCCCCTCCATCTTCACTCTCACTCTCTATTTCCTGACTTTTCTTAGTCCCCTGAATCCACAGGCTTTGTGTGCCAGGCCAGGCCAGGCTTGTGCTGGCATGAAAGTCCTGCAACAGGACACCACTTCCCTTCATTATTTATCCAACCTAATGGGAAACAAGAACAAGGTGACTCAGTTCTGAAAATGTGGAGTCTTTGTCCCACAAGTCTTGGATCCAATTGTTCGAGACACACAGACTTTTATAATGATCTGAAATCAGAAAAATCTGTTGGCTAAAAAAAAAAGAAAGAAAAAGACTGTAGAAAAATACCAGTCATTTTGTTATTTCAAGGCTGGCAGGACATCAAGCAGGCTTTGGTACAGTTGGTGCTGTGTCGTTGTATTCTTTTCCTACTTATAATAAAAAAAACTTCTAACCATCTCAAACTTCTCATCCGACATCTGACAGTGCTCATCTTGACATTTCCACTAGCAATGTTCACACAACAGTGGAAAAGAAAAGAGCTGCTGGTCCTTAGCCTTTTAAAAATTTCCAACAAATCCCATGAAATGACCAAATCAGCAATAAACTGATCTGAATAAAACATGTTGCCTGTATAGCTTTTTCCCCTCCATTGCTCAAAAACCATCCACTCGTGACAAAATTCATTACCAAACCTTTTAAATGATTGCTTTCTACTAAGCTTATGATTATTTTCAGCCTTGATTTATATTGTTTCAATTATTGTTTCAAATTAATCAATCCATTGTTTTCTGTAAAAATAATGTGAAATGTTCATTACAACTTCTAGGAGACCAAGGTAGCATCTTCAAACGTTCAAATGTTTTGTCTGACCAACAGTCCAAAAGTAGATATTCACATATTCTGGTTACAATAATTTATGGCAAAGAAAACCATAAAATCCTCAAATTTGAGAGGCTAAAACATGACAATGTTTGGTTTCAAATGTTTCATTAGAAAAATTATTAAAACAAATTGAATATTAAAATAGTTCTTGATTATTTTTAAGGTTAATCATTTCCGCTCTACTTTCTGCAACATCTGTGCAACTACAGTAAAAATTAGGAAAAGGTTGTGGTAAATTAAAGTTACAGTATTTTTCAAATTAAATTTGTTGTAGAAATCGGCTCCAAAACTTGTCTTAATTTGGAGAGGTGACCCAAAGGCATTGAACAGCCCTGGCAACATTGCAGAGATTTTGGCTTCTGAATGGTTTTTGAGCAGGATTGACCTCAAATCAAATCAAATTAAAATTTATTTATATAGCACTTTAAAACAACAGCACAATACAGTACAATAAACAATGAATAAAACAACACAAAAAGAGGCTAGAATAAAATTGAACTGGAACA